GCCACCACGCCCAACTTCTCTCCCCTTTTTTTTTTTTCTTTGTCTTTTTGAGACAGGCTCTTCCTATGCAGTTCAGGCTGGCCTTGAGCTCACTTTGTATCCCAGGCTGGCCTCGAACTCTCCACGATCCTCCTGCCTCAGCCTCCTGAGTGCTGGGATTACAGGCGTGTGCCACCACACCCAGCTTCCCCCCTTATTTAAACAGCAGTGTGGAAGACCAGAGCAGCAGTAGGCTGTGGACCTGAGAGGAGTCACAATGCCTAACACTAAGGGATTTCTTCCTTCCAGCTCTTCTGACAGTGATTCTGACGGTGAAGCTGGCAAGCAGTTAAAGGGGAGAAAGGAAGCTGCTCCTGAACAGCCTGGGAGGAAGCAAAAGGCCAGTGAGACCCTGAGAGCTCCGTGGTCTCCTGGGCACCGCCACCGCCACCGCCGCCGCAGGAGCAGCAGCAGCAGCAGCAGCGATGAGAACATGGTCCCGAATGGGGCAGCGAGGTATGGCAGTGTTCTGGGCTTAAGAAAGGTTTCAGCGGTGGAGAGGATGTTGGCTGGCCCAGAGGGGAAAGGAAAACATTAAAAAAGGTTAAGTCTTTAAACTGGAGCAGTGAGCCAAGTGTGTTAGCGCACACCTGGAATCCCCGCACTTGGGAGGCTGAGGGAAGAAGATCGTTGCGAGTTCGAGACCAGCCTGGGCTACAACGTGAGCTCAAGGCCAGCCTGAACTGCGTAGTGAGACCCTGTCTCAAAAAGACAAACAAACAAAAAAACAAGAAAACCCCAAAACTTTGTGGTGTATTATAGGCAGCTAAATGAGATAGAAATTAATGTATAGTTAGGGAGAGACTGGATCTCCAGGAAGTCAGAAGAATAAATAAAGACATCAGTATTGCTGTGGGGGGCATATTTGAAGACCAGGCCTCAGGATAAATGTGCAATGACCAAGCCTACATGTCTCTCCTAAGGAGAAGCAGTAATTTGGAATTATACTATAATGGGTATAACCTGGTCCAGGAAAGTCCAGATATACATTAGTCACCCAGTGGATGACCAGAGCATCCCTTCCCTAAAATGCCTTTCTTCTTTCCAAGTACACTTGCTATGTGACCCACTTTCCCATCGGGCCAAACGTTAGCTCAGTGGCTGTACTTTGACGTAGGAGAAAGGAACGCCACGCCTGCTAGATGTCCGGTACGAGTTCATGTTCTCTAAAATTGAAGAATGACTTTTAGGAACAATAGCGGCTAACAGCAGAATATATTTATTGGGAAAAGAAAGCTTCTTAGTGAGATGGAAGGTCCTGAGCGGGTTGCAAAGGACCCTGCCTTTTCTAGGGACTTTTTTGGTACCAAGAATCGAACTCAGTACCTTGGGCTTGCCAGACAGGCACTTGTGCAGCTGAGCTATATCCCCGGCCCTTCTAGGGATATATTTATTTATTTATTTATTTTGTCTTTTTGAGACAGGGTCTCACTATGCAGTTCAGGCTGGCCGTGAGCTCACTTTATAGCCCTGGCTGGTCTTGGAACTCACGATGATCCTCCTGCCTCAGCCTCCCAAGTGCTGGGATTACAGGCGTGCACTACCACGCCTGGCCCCTTCTAGGGATTTTAATAGAGCAAAACGAGTTGAGGCAGTCCAAGGTGGGGAAAAATGGGAAATCACGAGATGGGACCAAACTATGGTCAACCAATAAGATGACGAGTATAATTGCTCAGGTAATATTCATTAAATCAGTATCCAATGGGGAAGCTAGTCACACAGCAGGCAGGGATGAAATGGAACAGGGGCTCTCTTCCTGTAGGGGGTTGGGGTCAGTGGCTCTTCCTGGCTTTCTCAAGGTGATTGATACCTATTTAGAATATCAATACCAATCCCTGATGTTTATCCTTAGGAAGTCTGTGGTGCATTTGTTTCATCTTTTGTCTTGAGGTCTGGCCCTCAGGGGAATGTCTTTCTTCCCCAAAGTTGCATTGTATCTCCTCTTCTGCACTGACTTTGAGGGCCCAGTCCTGTGTGACTGCCTAGAAGATTTCTACCTAATTTAGCTGTCTATAGCTTTTGTGCTAACGGCAGTTTGACCCACTCTCAACCTGCTAGACCCGTGTTGTGACTTTAAATTACGAATATAATTTAATTACCCCTGTATAAGTGACCCCTGACAAAGGGCCTGGAACCTCTTCTGTCGCTCAGGAGCCATTCCTGTTCCCCAGTAAACCTTTCCTCCTTTGTCCTAAATCTCAACCTCCTTTGTCTTTTGGAATTCATTCTTTGATTTCAGGGGACCCAAACCTGGTGTATCTGACATCTAGCAGGTTGGGAGTCATACCTTCTCCTTTATAACATATGTACCAGTATTAATGTAGGGAAAGAAACTCTCAACCTGCTAGATGTCTGGTACGAGTTCGTGTTCTCTAAAATCAAAGAATGAATTTTTTTTGTTGTTGTTTGTTTGTTTGTTTGTTTGTTTTCCGGTACTGGGAATTGAACTCACTACCTTGCGCTTGCCAGGCAGGCGCTGTGCTGAGCTAAATCCCCAGCCCCTCAAAGAATGAATTTAGAACAGAGTATACTTATTTTTTGTTGTTTTTGTTTTTTTGTCTCTTTGAGAGAGGGTCTCGCTCTGCACTTCAGGCTGGCCTTGAGCTCACTTTGTATCCCAGGCTGGTGTCGAACTCGCAACGATCCTCCTGCTTCAGCCTCCCTAGTGCTGATTACAGGCGTGCGCCACCACGCCTCACTAGGAGAATATATTTATTGAGGAAAAAAAGCTTCTGTCCAAGAGACAGACAGAACGGGACCCGAGTGGGTTACCAAGGACCCTGCCTTTTCTAGGGATTTTTATAGAGCAAAACCGTGCATCCAAGGCTGGAAAAAATGGGAAATTGCACGGTGGCCATGAGGTGGGACAAAACTATGATCAGCCAGTAAGATTACAAGACTACAATTGTTTAGATAAAATTGATTAAGTCAGGATCAAATGGGGAAGCGGATCACGCAGCAAGCCGGCATGAATACAGAACAGGGGCTTTTCCCATAGAGGACTGGGGTAGTGACTCTTCCTGGCTTTTTCAAGGTGACTGATACCTATTTAGAATATCAATCCCCGAATCCATCCCTAGGGAGGTATGGGGGTGCATCTGTTTCATCTTTTGTCTTGAGGTCTGGCCCACAGCGGAAGCGCCCGTCTCTCCATTTGCAAGGTATCCCGTCTTCCATACTGGCTCCGTCGAAGGCCTCGCCCTTTCTCACTGCCTATAATGTTTCTAATTCAGCTGCCTGCAACAGTATCAGGCACTAAACAGGTGTCACACTTTGATATAATCTATAATCTGAGAACAAATATTCTCCAAAGATTAATCACTTCGTTTGGGGATGGACATTGCAGGGGAATTGGGCATCAACAAATGATGTATTTTGAAGGAGGATGAGGCAAGGGGAATTTTCAAGGTTAAAGTGAGAATTCTGTAAATTGTTTTTAAATATGAGTCCTTGGCTACAAAGGCATTTACAGGGGCAGCAGCAGTCCAACTTTGAACAGGCGGCAGAAGTGTTTTGTGTTTTTGGTGGTGCTGGGGATTGAACCCAGGGCCTTGCATAGATCTCCATCTCCAGGGACTTTTTCTACCCAATACCAGTTTGTTTGTTTGTTTGTTTGAAGCAAGGTTTTACTATGTGGTGCAGGCTGGCCTTGAACTGTGACCCTCCTGCTTCAGCCTCCAGAATGCTGGGATTACAGGCGTGCACCACCATCCCGGCCCCAAATTGGGTTTTGAACCCAGGACGTTAGCACTAAGCTGTATCCTGCTGTATAGTTCAGCCTGTCCTTGAACTCTCTCGCCAATCCTCCTCCCACTGTCTCCCGAGAGCTGGGACTACAGGCATTCGCTATTAATCAAGCCCGCCTTATCCTTTATTTTGTGACTAAGTCACTAAGTTACCCAGGCTGGACTCGAACGTGCAATCTTTCTACTAAACGTGTGCCACCACGCTCGACTCTTAGTTTTTCGCGGGGGCTGGGGGTTTAGCTCAGGGGCACAGCGCCTGCTTGGCAAACACAAGGTCGTGAGTTCCATTCCCGGTACCGGAAAAAAAGCAAAAAAAAAAAAAAGCTTTTCGGGTAATGTTGCCGAGGCAGGTGGTGGGTGCTTGACACCTGTATTTTAAGCCTGATAACTAACAAGCCCTATCAGGTAATCCGCACTGGAGACTGAACAAACACGCTCAGAGCGGATGGGTGTTAATTAGCCTATGCTGTTCTCGGTACTTGGGCAAACGGGGATTCGGGACCTTATTCTTCCAAACCCGGGCACCCCATCCCGACCTGCACCGGCAGCCCTTAAGGGGGCGAGGTCGCCAGGACCCGCCCCGCGTAGCCCCGCCCCTCGCCGCGACACGAGTACCAATCAGCGGCGTCAGGGGGCGGGGCGCGGCCGAGCACGCTGCGGGCCGGCGTTCCGGTGTCCGCGGCGCAGGCGGACGCGACGCGGAGTGACGCGGAGCGGGCCGGCGCCGCGGCCTCCTTCCCTCCCTTCCCCTCCCCTGGCAGCCGTCTCCCCGCAGCCGGACCGGAACTATGTGATCCCGGAAGTTCCGGGGCCACTGCCGTGTGGGATAAACAGTAATGGCGGAGGCTGCGGCTCCCGGAACAACAGCCACAACATCAGGAGCGGCAGCG